CGGACCCTGAAGACTTTCAGGCTACCTCCAATGCTATGAATTACAAGTTCAGCCTTGGCCAATGTCACCCACAGCTGGTGCTAACGAACGACGATCGCACTGTCTACTGTAAGGACAAGGCCTCTAGAGGTGCGTGTGTCGAGCCGTTTATTCAAGTTGGAACAGTAGCAACGGCAAAGTTCCGTTTTCACCAGTCAGCCTACACAAACTCAGTGGGTGTTTGCGATCCGCTAGAGTACAAACGTAATGCACTAGAAAAGCAAAAGTGTGAGGTTATGAATCCTAATACTGTGAACTTCTCGGCGGGAGAGATTGTCACGGTGACAGCGGATCGCCAGAGGCATATCCTGTACTTCCAAAAGGAATCTGCACCTGGTGAGAAATGGGTTGCTGAGAGCCATCTTTGCAAGGAAGGAGTTCTTGCATTCTATGGATGCATTCATCGTGACCAGTGGTCTACCTCTATCAGTTCGACGCTTACAGTCCTGCCACAGTGAAGTTCGATATTACCCATTACTGAAAGAGTGTCAACTGGTATGGCAAGAGTTGGTAATTGTGCAAGGTCCTATTCTCCTGTATAATTGTTTCCACACACAATGGCGCGCATCCTTTCCCCGGCTGGTGTGTACCCTGTACACATAGCTTCCCACATTCGCGCATAACACCTTATGTTCCGTTGGCCTGGGTAGCTGCTTATGTACCCATATTTGCCATAGCTGGCCAGACCCTTTATTTTAAAACTATCTGTCTTTCTCTCTCTGCCTCTCTCCGTCTCTTTCTCTCTCTTTCTCTCTCTCTTTCTCTTTCTCTCTCTGTCTCTCTGTCTGTATGTCTCTCTCTCTCTCTCTCTCTCTCTCTCTCTCTCTCTCTCTCTCTCTCTCTCTCTCTCTCTCTCTCTCTCTGCCTCTCTCTCTCTCTCTCTCTCTCTCTCATATCTCTCTCTCTCTCCCTCTCTCTTGTTCTCTCGTTCTCTCTATCTCTCTCTTCCCTCGTCACAAATGTCGTCCACAACCTTCGTCCTTGGCTTGATGTGAGTGAGGAGCAATGGGGTTCAGAAGACCCAACAATTGGTATGCTGTGTTATTGCACCTGTGCCACCAAGCATAGCGTGTGCATGCATGCAATTATCACTCGCCATTTGGATGCGTACATACCCATACTGAGTTATCATGTCTAAGAGTGGAGTCATTCGGTTCGTTAGAGTACTCAATGCTCACAGGATTCGGTGAAACCATACATGTACCCTCATACCTCGGTTATCCGGACACCGAAGTTACTGGCACTTTGGTTTACTGTGCACCCTTTGGGCGAGTTTTAGTGGAAATATTACTACTCTTGTGTAATTCAATAACCTATAAGGAGTAGGGTCCAGCGGATAATGCCGGCATTATATTCGCCATTATACGACTATCCGATCATCAGAGCATTATGGAGCATTAGAAAGGAACAAATCGAGCATTATGTGAGGTTCGAGCGGCATAACGAGTTTCATAGCGGATACTATCGGGAAATCCCAGGTTTTTGGCAACAAGCGGCTACAATCATGATCATGAGATGTTGTCTGATGATTGGTTTTTGCCATGAAACTCTGAGTAACAACGAAACAGCCCTATTTTACTCATTTTGTGTTCCTCTTGCGTGGACTACTGCGCTCAGCCCATTCCGGGCATTTGAGCACTATGCATTGTACCGGCGCATGACTTTGTGATTGGGTACAGACACGTAACGTTATAACACCTTTAGCACTAACGCTACATAACTATTGCTACATAAAAACGTTATGATTGTAGCGATGTGGTCGGGTAAATGTATACAAGCCATTTGTGAAGCATGCCCAACCGAGGCCGAGGCAGCTCAAGTGACACAAATCCGGAGGAATTATTTACGAGGTTTCTTTTACTTTTAGAATAATGGAGAGCTATGGAGGAGACATTCGCGAAGTGAATATCAAACAGACAAAGAAGAGTTTTCTAGTTGTGCCAGATGCTCTGGCGATAGCATCTCTAGCGATACTGAAGTAGACACTGATGCATTGCTAAATTTGGACCAGGATGAAGGAGCGGCAGCACAGAAAGAGCTCGTTCCAAAAGAACTGCCTTTGCCGAGTCCAGCTCAGGAGGCTCGAAAAGAACTAGAATTTCTCATGGACTCAGTACCAAGTCGATTGCTCAGCAGCGCCTGTCTTACTTTCCTGATGAAGCGCGTACAGTTAGTTGTGGACGGTTGTAATGCCAGGCCTACAGTCAAATGCTATAATAAAGGAAGAGTATTGTGGCAAGCCATACGTCTACACACCATCTCAAGGAGAAGATGAGAGCACAAGCAAAGGATGTAGAGTGGCATAATAACTTCTGACCACGTGTTTTCAGGATTTCCGCAAATGGGAGGGCTCTCCGGCATCTGAGATCGGATCTCAGGAGCTGGCCTCACGTCTCGTGTTTCAGATGAAGACATTATTCACAGAGTGGATGCAGTGACAGCTTGTCTGCAGGCAGGAATACTATTTGCCAAGATTAAGTTCATCCCAACAATGAATGACTACCTGCAACAATGGTTTCATCTCTCACTACATGGATAATTAGGGGAGGGATTTGATACACCGACTATTCTGCCACAAGCCTGCATCAAAGTTGGAATGGAGAGCAATCAATGGAGAATGGAGAAGTGTTAAGAAGTAGTGGAGCTCGTCAGAGATAAGGTGGCAACTTCAGATGCAGATCGACGATATGCATAATTTCACTGCACTCGCGGAAGTCCCTGCTTTTTAACAGTGATCGGGAGTGGATGAAGAAAGACGGAAGAGGACTTTTCGACGTGACCATGGGCTGCTTCGACGGTGCAGAAGTCTGCGAACTGGTCGGCACATATGCCCTGTCAAAGCTATCGGAGGAGTTCGACAGCGCAGACATCGGATTGTACCGCGATGATGGACTAGCGGTGATCAGAGATGCGACGGGCAGTACAGCAGACCGCGCCAGAAAAACCATATGCCAGATTTTCACGAATCTCGGTTTGAAACTGACCATCAGCGCTGGCATGAAGACGGTAGATTTCCTGGATGTGACACTGGATTTGTCAACAGGGAAATACCAACCATACTGGAAGCCGAACAACAAGCCCGTCTATGTCCACCAACTTTCCATTCACCCACCGGCCATCATCCAACAATTGCCAAAGACAATCAGCAGACGACTTAAAGACATATAAAGTGACCGACACATATTTGAGGAATCGGCACCAGCGTACAACGATACCCTCAGAGAGAGTGGATACGTGGAACGAGTCGAGTACATGGAAGAGAGGAAGGAGGAGACAGGACGAAGAAAGAAAAATAGGCGGCGCAACATCACTTGGTACAACCCACCCTTTAGCAAGAACGTGGCCACAGACATCGCACACAAATTCCTCCGACTCCTCGACACACACTTCCCTCACGGCTGCCGATTGTGTCAGATATTTAACCGCAACACCGTCAAAGTTAGCTATTCATGTATGCCGAATATGTCCGCAATAGTCAAATCCCACAACAACCATGTTCAAAGGAAGAGACAAACACAGGACAAGATCGTCCACGCCAAACGATGCAACTGCCGAGACAAAAGCACCTGCCCAATGGACGGCGACTGCCAAGTACGATGCATTGTGTACAAGGCAACAGTCCAGCACACCGGAAGAGAGCAGTGGCACGAGTACCTCGGCCTAACGGAACCACCCTTTAAACAGAGATACAACAATCACATGAGCACGACGAGGCATGAGAGGATGGAAAAAAGCACGGAGCTGTCCAAGTGCATATGGAAGCTCAAGCGGAAGAACACTTCGCACTCTGTCAAATGGGCCGTCGTCACCAAGGCCCAGGCCTATTCGAACGCGACCAAGCGGTGTCCCCTATGCCTGGCTGAGAAACTGGAGATCCTGGAAGCAGACAAAACGGTCAACATCAACAAAAGGTCGGAGTTGGTGTTGAAATGCAGACACGAGAACAAGTATTACCTGTCCAGATTCTCACCATCAGTTACATGAGTTTTTCAGCATGGCGCAACCTGCACCAGGTTTGGCGCCATGGTGCTTTCTCTCTCCCTCTTCACTCCTGCTGTGGTCTTGCGCTACTGTCGCTATCGCTTTTGATGACTCGGTAACACTGCCCTGTTATCGCTTCTATTCTCACCTATATCCGTTAACTCTCACAAAACAACTCAATACCATTGTCCCAATGCCACGTCTTCACTTCGCACATATGCACTAACTTCCACGCTAGCATCAAATATCTAGGCCTGCTCGTAGAGAATTCGATAGTGAATGCTGCTGTCTGATGATCGCTCCGATGCGTGACACTTTAAGTTACAGCTAACACAGCCTTTCGCCTCTGTTGTGTGTGTAATCTAAAATGCAAATATTCATCAGTTCGAGGAAAAGTTGCAAACGGGAAAAGTCTAAAATAAACATTGCCTTTCACCACCAGGACCTGAGCCAGGGACCCTAGCTTGGCCAGCGATACTCTAACCACTAAGCTATGGTGTAGTCGTCATCCAAGCAGCGACCGCTCAACACTTCCTTCAGACTTCTAACACGCTCCAGCTTTCAGGCTTATTTCGCGCTTTCGGGCTTTTCATCACCCACAACAAATTAAAGACCATGTGCGGATTGCACGGTGCACGGAGATTCAGAACTTTCAAGTTTGACGCACATTGTCATTGTAGGTGGTATGATGTTTCGGTACGATGTGATGATAAGCGATACTTCAGTCTAATTTTGGAAGGATTGGGAGAACTTCAAATTCAAAGGATCAGTCGGGGAAGTGAACTGCCTGAAAAGAGAAAAAAAACCCGACGCACTAGAACTCGAACTCTTTGGAGTGCAAAACTTGTCAGTGCCTTCTAGGTTCAGCCTGGTCCCATAGCTCAGTGGTTAGAGCATTGCTCATGACAAGCAAGGTCCCGAGTTCGATTCCTGGTGCGTCTGGCGTTTTGTTCTCTTTTCAGGCAGTTCACTTCCCCGACTGATACTTCAGTTAAAGTTTGCAATAGCATCAACCGATAATTGTAGAGTAGTGTACGAGCGTGGATGCACAGTGGCAATCGAATCAAACCAATAAGACACACAGGAAGAGGTATACAGGTTCGACCTGACCGCGAAGGTAGATCAGCAGAAGTAAACGAAAATTTAATGCTGGATGACCATTCACAAAATGGTAGATCACACGCGAATGCAAAGGCACACGGAAGCTGTGCACAATACTTTGCGACAATGCAGCCTGTTTGGCATGCTACTGCTGTACAATGTACAATGTAAATAGCAGGGCATCAGCTCAAGTGCGGTTCAATTATAACGCTATTATCACGATGTAGATGATTAGATGATACCCAAATGTTATTACCAACGCCATCAGCCTCAAGCTCATTGCTCACCTGTACATCTATCGGTTGCACTACCTGTATAATATAAAGGTCCCAATACTAGTATACGGCAATACAGTAGTCGTAATCATGGGTCCCTGAAGGTCATCTCAAATCGTCCCTACCTTCTACAAGTATTGACACTATGTATAATACATACATGTACATGTACATGTATGCGCGTAAAAGCGAAATTTGATGTGGAGCTGGCAACATGGTAACCATGTACATGAGAACTCTGCATGGCAGAGATGAGAGCAAAGGCCACAGGCACAGTGCATAGATTATACATTCTAGCATTTTGCCGATGTTTCTAAAGGTGTTGATAATCATAGACAATGCATATTGTGGTGTCACCTTGCAGAAGCTATAGTTTTTATGGCGCTGCACAAAAGCAATGTTGATAATTCTCATTGTATATTAGGACTAATAGAATATTGGTATAAGTTGCATGGACATTGCAAATTTTCTCGTGTCTTTTATAAATTTTTCAAATGGGCTAAATTTGATAGCCATAACAGTAGACGATAGAACTCTTGTGATAACTCTGGAAAACTTGATTTCTTTGAAGATAGCATGATAAAAGTGTGAACCGAGGTATGATGGACCCTACATATCGTGTTTCTGATGGAGACAGTGGAAGCTCGAGTCGAAGCAGGAGGGTCCATACTGTACACAGGGGATTACTCGTACTCTTGATGATAGAAGGTTGAGTGATTTGATTTGGAGCCCCATGCAGTGTAAGGTGCTCTGCCTCCGATGATTTCTATCAACGATGTGTCGTGGTGCGTTAAGTCAAGTTCCATGCTCTCCGTCCTGTAGTTGAAGGCACCATAGCTACGTTGCGGTAGGCGCTGCGTTCGTGGCCAAGTCGTGGCTAGAAAAGCAGGAGCAACACTTTGTTGGAGATTCAACGTGAATATTGGCCGGCAGCCGCGAGGTGGAACTGGCACCAAATATTCCATCAATCGTTTCTCTCCTCGTGCTATGGTTTATTATTCTTGCACTTCCCAATGGTCCATTTCTGGTTTTAGGTCAAAAGGAAGCTTAGCCATCACGAGGCACGATTCATCTGCCTGTTGTTGTAAGGTGGTGTGGGCCAATGTCAAGGCCTTGAAATGCACTGGTACTACTAGTAGTAGAAAGCTGCTGGGGTATTCAAAAGGTCTACCTACTACTAGTACTAGTAGAAGTTTAGCCCATGGTTTTATGCCGCTTTAGATGTAGAGAGAGGTGATCGGAACGGGAGAATGTCTGCTCGCACTGCTTGCACTTGAATGGCCGCTCACCGGTGTGCTTCCGATAGTGTCGGGTTAGCTCGTCGGAGCGGGCGAACCGCCAGCCACAGTCCGCCCACGTACATTGGTAGGGCTTCTCGCCGGTGTGCGTGCGCCGGTGTGCCTTCAGATGCGACGATTTCGTGTACTTCTTCAGACAGCCAGGGTAGTCGCAGGCGTGAGTACGACGTGGGGAGTCCGCACTCAACGTGTTGTGCCCACCGCCTCCGCCGGACGGGGGTGAGCTCTCCTGAGCAGGTGTATCAACGGACGGGGGCTGGGACGGTTGACCATTCGGGCTGGAGTCCGAAGACCCTTGGTCGACGCCCTGTGTGGTACCCGTGGGCGACCGGGGAGGCGTCACAACGGCGGAAAACGCCGACGAAGCGCTACTGGTATTGAGCGGGAATAGAGAGGCTGCTGAGGCGAATGCAGACGTGTGCGGAGAGCATATTGACTGTGTACCCGTCACAGCCTGCAGAGGTAACAGGCCGGGCATGCCGGGACTAGCAATGGGAGGACTGGGCAACCAGGTGCCGTCCGATGAATACATCGGGGGCAAATGAAAGGCTGAAACGCTCGGACTGCTCATGTTAGTTTCGTCATCGTATGCTTCGCCGCACCAGGGCAGCCCCGGGAGCACTGCTTCGGGTACCACGATCTCCTCCAGTAACTTCTGCAGGTGAATATGGGATGAGGAGAACATTACGTCATCGACAGGGCTGCTCCTATCCACGTCTGGTATTAGCTCAGGAGGTGAATCGTCGGCGCTGAGAAACGATTCCGTGCTAGTGCTGCCGTCGGACGAGCTCAAGCACTGGTCCACGATGGTCAGATACTTCTCCATGAAGTTGGCGCTTTGCCGCCGGAACTCAACCTCCTCGTCATGCATGGGGTCCTCTTCAGGCGAGCTGCAGTCCGACTGTGCTAAGTACCGCTCCATCTGCGAAGGTTGCTGCGCACACACAATATACACACACACACACACACATCACTGATCAGTTTAACCATTTTCCCACGAACGATCCCACGCGAGAAAAGTTTTTTTTTACTGAATCTTTTCGATTTTACTCGCCTGAAATAGAACAAAAGAGTACCATAAGGAGGAGGAAACGTGACATGACCAAAACGCTCACATGCCCCTCTACCCAATCATACCCAGACATTTGTACTTCTTATGGTGGATCAAACGAAGTTACTTCTTCGTCCAGTGGCTCAAAAAGTTCTAGCATTTGCCAAACTTGGCATCGATGACTGAATAGTTCCTCTCATCAGTCATCTTGTTCATGGACGGGTTCAAGTCGTTCACTTGATCACGTGTCAGCAACACGCCAGGTCGCCAGGATGACACTCTCGAGTGAGAAATTTTCATCAGAAGTTCAAAAATGGCTTCAGATTGTAACGCTCAACACACCCAGATACACACCTCTCAGACGGTATTCCATTCAAAAGAACTGCTCAACGATCCACCATAATTCAGCGTTACATGACCTTGTAGGGGCTGATGGGTATCACATAGACGTATACAGTTATTATACACACGTAACATTGTTCTGTACCTACTCCTGGCGTTCCCATACTACTGTATAAGTACAATTTTTACGTTAGGAAGCAACTTTCGCTATATTCGTTAGCGGGCACGAAATAACTAACGTTTGTACCAAACTAAAGTTTTTTTCTGAACGTTGGGGGTGACAGACCTCGACCAAAAACGAAATGTAGTACGTAGCAAGCCTGCTGGTGGATTGAAACAACGAAAGATTTCGTGAACGAAAATTTGTGCTTATACCTCTATACTATAATTATTATAGTATAGAGGATACTGGTTGCAACCGAAATCCGATCCCAGCACGGGGCACTCACATTGCAAACGCCTCACAAGCGTTATTATAAACAAATGGATACCACAAGAATCGTTGCTGCACTCGAGGACGAAAACCAGGGGTCGGATTTCAGTTGCCATCAAATGTACTGTAGTAGTACAGTGTCATGTACGATCGTCCTGAGCACAGAGGACTCGAGGAGGGCGGGCATGTCATATCTGATAATTATCATTCGTGATGGCGATCCACCCACTGGTGCACCATCTCATTTTTTTCTTCATTTTTTATCGTTTTTAAGGATTCTCCAAAGGCTTTCGCCTATCGAGGGGGTTTCCAAACTTTCCATAATACCAAATACCAAATCTGTAAAAGAAGTGATGATCAATAGGTAAGCAAAGAAATAGTATAGAGGAGAGCTCTGCGCTTGAACATTATGATTGTAAGCGTGCAGAACTGGGATAATACATGATGGAAAGTGTGCCATCATCATCACCATCATAATTGTTGATTGCTCCAGACCGGCTGGTTATAGCCAGGAACATGGCAGCCAAGCATCACTTGCAGCACCAGTGCTCCCTGTCCACTGATCGTGGTGCGATACCTCACAACGGCAGCGTGTACAATTATTGTATGCCCGATGAGGTGCCCAACTATGAAGTCGCCTCGACACAAGTCGCAGACCGTAATGCTGGCTGGCGATTTGTAGCCTGTCAGAAAGGCGTGTAGTCGTGGAATGGTTGTGCTGGAGGTGCTGAACTGACCAAGGCAGGACTTGATGACATTCACAAACTTCCTCCTTCATCCCTCTGCACGGCGTAGGTGGTTAATCCGTCCTAGTAAGTATTGCCGGGGTGTGAGAGGTGCCGTTCACCACCATGTGAAGTGCTGGCAGCCGGCGGGAGAACAGCGCAGGCTGCAGCGCGACGGAAAGCCTTGTTCACATCGGTATGTGGATGGGTTGACCAGGAAGCGCCACGCATCTGCAGTACGAGCAGAGCTGCTCCTGTCGCTGCCAGGCAGATACCGTTCAGCACCGACCAGGCACGGAAGGAGCAGAACCTTGCGTAAACTCGTCCACATCGTCCGTCTCTGCTCAGGTCACTCGCGTAGGCATACAGCGCTGCCTCCACGCGTCAGGAAGCGGCGACGGGAAGTTCAAGTCTACACTGGACGCGTCTAATTCACTCTGCAAACGCATTCACTCAACGCCGTGTCGAGATATCGATGATAATGATGACGGTACTTGCTCTTAAAACGTTATCCATGTAGCACCTTCTAGTGGTAGAAACTTTCAAAGTAACCCGAGGCAACGCAGATGATGGTGACGGTTTGAATTTTGGTTAGCACATACAGTAGTCATTATGCGGCAGTTGCAGATGTAATAGTTTGAGAGTCACGCGTAGACTAGCGCGAATGCTGGCAGATCTAGAAGTATGCACGGTGTATACTGTGTAATTCTGCCATAAGTCTGCATGTACGTGTGCAGGTACAGTGTAGTAGATCGGTGGATTGTTCTGACTTCTGCGTCGTAACCAACACCGCCAGTAGAGAGCATGGCGGGCGGAAGAGGCCATGATCCATAGCCAATTACTCCGCCACAATGCTACTACTAATAATACAAATAACAATGCTCTCCCGCTTTCTGCATTCCACCATATCACATCATCAGCTAGGACGCAGCCCAGTGAAGTAGTTACGTCGCTCTGTAGTAGTGTAGCGTAAGCAATCTGACACGCGTGTGTCGAACTATGAACTGATGAAGATGGACGGGATCTAGGATTGCCCTGAGCAGGAAGGGTATGACATTATCACGGAGTGACATCCACTCCTGGAACGCATCTCACCTATAGGCTCGTAAGCAGGGATTTGTCGGAGAATACGGGCATTTGTGAAAGACACTGTTTGAAAGCTGCCAACCCCTCACGTGAACATTATCACCAGTAATACAGTGTTACCTCTATTATGCTTTTGGATAGTCTGTCATTCAGAGTACGAGTCACTGCACCTGAAATTCACCTTGATTTGTAGTCAGGTGCTGTTTAACATCCAGCCTACTCAGATGGTGAAGCAAGGAAACAAATTGTAACATGGAAACTGTGGGCACATGTTTTGCGTTCCTTGTCAGTTTTGTGCTAGATTGTGCACGTCTGACTGTTCAAAATCTGGTTTACTCGATCGCATAACAAACTTGTGCCCACAATTTCCATGTTACACATTTTTTATCATTCATTGCATTTTTCTTGAGCCGGGTTTGTGTTCTGTTGTGGTAACGAAAGTAATCTGGCATTCCAGCAACTAATGTTGCTGTTGTTGATGATACAGTCAAACCTCATTAGGACGAACATCAAGGGACCGATGATATTTGTTCGCAATAACGGGAGTTCTTCTTATCCATAATGTCTTACCCAGTGAATACACAGGGTTTTATCCAATACAGTTACGAATACTAGTTCTTCTTAGGCAAACATTTGTCTTATCAGTGTTCTTCCTAACCACGTTTTACTGTACTTTATTTTGTATGACAGACCAAACCTGTGTGTAGATCACTCTCCGCGACACCAGGCAGACGGGTAGCAGTACTAGTAGATCGACCATTCCCTACTCGAAATACAACCAGGGAGTAGTATTCGTCTAGGGATTGAGTTGAATCTGTTACGCAACCTTGATACATCCGCCTAGAGTTTCTTTGGGTTAGGCAATTTCAAATTTTCATTTTGATTTCATCGCCGAGTTTCATCCCTTGTGTCTTTGGTGTTCTTCCTTCTTTCCATGTCGTATTGTTTGAATAAATCCGTTTTTGACTAGTACATAATTATTATGGTATTGTACTACTCCCTGCCTATAATCCACAGTTCGGACATGAAGTTAACAACTACTTCAAAGTAAAATACGGACGATAAATATCTTGGATTAAAAGATGCCTGGAATGTTCATGCCTCACTGTCTACCCACGTAACCAGATCATATACTTTGCCTCAACAACCGAGATAAATGTCTTCCTCGCCATGTACATGTAGATCTACATGTACTGTATGAGCCGCTGAAGAAAACATTTCCAGGCTGCAATCACAATGAATGTGATTTCATCCAGATGTACATGTACATCCTTCCACTCATTCCATCGATCATCAGGTGATGGAATCCTCATCAACAAAAGCAAAATCGTTCAATGTTTGATGAGCCATGACGAAAACACGACCCCCCCCCCCCCCACACACACACACAGAATGGTTTCCGGACTTTTGGAACTCCTGCTGCAGCGTGGATTGCTGGGACTTCGATGACTGATTTCTCGTGAGGAATAAGCCTTCGACACAGTCTTTGTACGATGCTGGTTACCGGCGTGTGACTGCACACATGAACACTCACGCAGAGGAACGGAAGGATCTTCACCAAAGTTCACTGGACTGCATCATGCAAGATTGCAATAGCATCCCTTGGGAGAAGGCTATCCGGGCATCTCAGAGGTTTTGCTCATCAAACCCTCACCATTCCACCTGTGCGTTTCGATGACTTCCCGGGCTGCGATTGACGTGTTAGGGCCTGTCGCCATCCATAAACCCAGATACCTTGTACCAACGGCTAGAGTTCAGCGCAGATTGCAGTTCAAAAGTTGCAGAGATAGGCAAAGAAAAGTTTATGTTCTTCTACACACTGGGGAACAACGTGTTGACTCTGCATATAGGAACGTAGTCAACTTACGAATACCGTACTCGAATTGATCATCAACCTTTTGTCTTTTTCAGCCTTGAACAAGCCAGCAATGAGAGCTGGAGCGACATGAGAGCTGAACCAGCGTTTGTTGACGGTAGAGTAGAGGCTTACAAACAGTGAATTACCAGAACAGGTAAATGCACAGAACGAGCCAGAAATAGGATGTATTGAGTAATTCTGTGCACGCGCAGCTCATTCCTGGCTAGATTGTACAGTCTACCGACATGGTGATTCTAGCCTGCTACTCATACGATCGCCAGCAGTCAATTGCTGCATGTTCTGAGCTGAAGCTCGTGAGCGCAGACCTACATAATATCCTCAGCGGATAACATGCGTACAGTACTCGAAGTAGTCGTTATGTAGTAGTCAGACCTTGTCCTAAATTGGACATCACGACTGACACTCATCGCTCGCGTGTGTTTCTTTTGCTGCTCCCCAGTCCGGTGCGGCTTCACGGCTTCCGCATCGCACCTACATGTATCAGTGCGATCATGCATGGCCCAGTTGATGATTATTGGTCATTGCTTTCTATAACAAACCTGGCTGCCCTGAAGGACACCTCTTTACTCGACCTTTTGCCATTTCCTAAAGTGCATGGCAGCACAAGTACTTGAAGGGTCGTTTTAAACAGCTTGTCAAATCTGCATATTGGTGGGTAAGGCGCAAAGCAAGCTAAGTTAAACTTACTTGTAAAAAGGCCGATTGACTAACTACAATTATGTAAGTATTGTGCCTGGAAAGTTGAAACTATCCTTCCGTGACCATAACCTGCAGGCTGCAGCACACGTGATTTGCCTGCATATCTGGCACACCTGTTTTCCACTAGATCAGCGCAAGAACGTGGATGTCGTGAACCAAGTGTTCCACTTTCATCACGTGCAATCAATCCCCTATTTTCAGGCAGAGCAGCTAGCTACAGAGATCAGACCACTCTCACGAATTAACATCGCGTCCTTGACTCACCAGTGAGATTGAGAGTTCTGAATACTAGTAACAAGAGTATCATTATAACTTAAGCCCAGAGGTTATACTCTTGCTACTAGTACTAGTAGGACCGTAATCATAAGCTATGTCGTGTACATGTCGAACAGGCACTGGTTAATTAATTAATCTCTATTGTTTTCGCTTGGGCCTACCTTAGTCACCTCGGTCGCATCATCCATCACGATTTCGTTGTTGGTCGCACTGGGCACCTCCACATCCATGCACTGTGATAGGTAGGGTGTGAAGGCGGTGTAATGGAGGCGGGCGCGACCAGCGAACACCGACGCAGGCGAGACCAGCGGCGGGCTGAGGAGAAAATCTACATCGGAACCATCCATAGTGCTACTGTCACCCCAAGCCAAGACCTTCCGCCAAGCGAGCACGCGCGTAGACTCCACGTCAGCACGAGCATAAACTCCTGGTCGGATGTTCTTAGTGTTTGTCCTGTGGATGTAGGAAAGCTATGCTGGAGAGGTGAGTTTGTGGCGGAGTGTGTACGCGACCGTCGTCTTCTACCTTACATTGGATCACACCCTGTGTTACAGCACTCCGCCTGCCAAGTCTCCCTAAGGACTCAAGTGCACTAAAGTGACGAGGAGTTGATTATATATCTCGGTCTCCCTCCTAAGTGCCCTCCGTCGGTCCGTGGGCCGCCGTACACGAGTGGGTAACGCGCGCGCAAGTGCGCGCGTGTGTGTGTGCGTGTGTGTATGTGAGAAGGACGAGTTTAACTCCGCACTGTGGTGTCCCAATCCAACCACCAGTCTCCCAATGGCCTCTACCCGTGAGGCCAGCACGCAGGTATGGTTCATGCGGCGTAGCTAGCCTGTTAGGCTGTAACTCACTTAGAACACATGCCATACCCGGCTCAGTCAAGTGTACTTACTGCCCATAATCCAAGTAAGTTACAGCCTCTCTCTCTGTGTGTACATGTATGTGCGTGTGTGTGTGTGTGTGTGTGTGTACATGTATGTGCGTGTGTGTGTGTGTGTGTGTGCGTGTGTGTGATGACAGAATTGGATAGCGAAAACAGGGCACCGTGACCAAACAAGGCGAATTTTATCGGCGCAAAGGGTCTCTGCGAGAACCTCGGCCAATCACAATCGTAGCACTACATGTAACAGTAGTCGAGAGACTGCAGAAGCGACATAGTATTCGCGTTCGGCAGACACCATGGACACCATACAACAATGCCTGCTTCAGTGTAGCTGCACGGTCTAACCCACCGAGCGTCGGCGCATGGTAATCCAGCCGATCGCTGAATCACTTGCCGGCCTACTCAAATCGAGCTCGGCTCGTGGCTGCAAACATTGCGCGCAGAACTGCTGAACGCCGACTAGCACCAGAAGACGGCCGTGTACAAGCCAGGCAATTTGACGTGTATAGTCCCACGAGGAATTCGTCCACGGCGCGTGGCTCGTCCAGAAACCAGCCGAAATAGATCAAAACAAGTCACTGGTAGTTGAGCCTTTCCATCTTATCTGCTTCCAGGCTGTCGTACACCTTTTTCAGTCGTGAACTACCCCGTGCTCGTTCGGCGTATCTCGACCGTCTGCCCACGCAAACACTGCAAAGTTACCTCCACTCGAAAACTCTGTGTGGGGCCGAGATACTAGTAGTCGATAGCAATACAATCATATACATGTATGCAGTTTTTCCATTACCGGTATGTGCTCCATGATGTCAAGGCCTAGCTTTGGTTGGCGTTACACAAGGTACACAATAATTATGTGGATGTCATTTGGCCCAGTACGTACATGTATGAAGACAGACAACGACTGGTGCAAACTCAGGACAATGGTGAATTGAGCCATAGACCCTCCCAAACTGTATCATGGTTATAATGGACTCTCTCTCTCTCTCTCTTTCTCTCTACCTCTCTCTCTCCTCTCTCTCTCTCTCTCTCTCTCTCTCTCTCTCTCTCTCTCTCTCTCTCTCTCTCTCTCTCTCTCTCTCTCTTCTTATAGCCCGGCCACTCCTTGGGCCACAGCCACATGTTTAGAAGATTGGGACATGAACCGAGTGGTTACCAACGATACGATCTTCGAAATCATGGTTGCCAGGAGGGAAGGGTGAGATAGAATGCGAGAGAGTAGGAGGCAGGATACAACAGTATCATGTACAACAATCTGCAGCGAGGAGGAGCCTTATGCACATCCGACTCACTTCCTGTCACTTTTCGATATCCGACACGCGCTCATCATCACAAGCAGAGGACGATAATTATTAATTTTCATCTGCTTCGTACAGTGTGCTTGATAATGTACCAGGACCAGCTTCAGCGCATGTTGACAGAGTGGTGTCAATGGGGTGGAAAGTGGTGCGCCGGAATACGGCCTGGTTGTATGGCATCGTGACAGGACTGATACTAACCATCCCCCTCCGGCACATCTGTTACACGATATCTTGCCATCGCTCGTATCCGTTCTCGGCTGCTTGCACAATACCTGATACCCAGTATTATGTACAAGAATGGCAGAATCTTCGCCCCATGGTACAGGCAGTACATAATGATTATGACTGAGTGGACATGATTTCTCTGCTCTTTTGTGTGTGCAGCAGCTGAATGAAGCCGGGTATTGCTATGGTTCTTCTTATGATGAGATGACTATAATTATGGTACCGTGGTTTTTGTATCAGCGTTTTCCATTTGAGACAATTTGTTATCGTTGTTGATTACTGAAGTATTTATTTTACATCGCATGTCAAGCGGGCAGTTCTGCCCAATATTTGAAAACGATGACAACTGGCAAGAAGACTAAGAAATGAAGAAAAAGAAACAAACGGAAGACAATTGACGATTGCTTTTGGATTTGCCAGCAACCCAACAGGGCAACGCGTGCTTGCGTAACATATGCAAACGTGTCTACCTTCTACGCTTTGCGCTGATTTTAGGAAGATGCTTTGTGGCTCGCTGGACTTCGTTGTGATCGGCTTGGGCAGTGCCATCACTCGGAGCTCCAGTGACGAGACCTAACAGGGCCGAAACAGCTAGTTGTCATGCAATTAACGTTTTTTCTTTATTTTACTATGATCACAGCCCAGAGGCAAAGACAAAAGGGTTGCATAATTGTTTAGCTGATGATTAAACAATGCAACACAATATGGAAAGGTCACAACACTAAGAGACAAGATCAAAAGGAAAGCTTTACAATAATAAACCAGTTAAAATAATAATAATAATAATAATAATAATAATAATAAAACGTAGCCTGTAAAATGTAAAGAGTCACTGAGTACAGTTTAATTCAATATCCATGTCCAGTATTTATAATAAAAATAATTTGCTGCAATTTATAAATTCTCACATGCGAGCAACATGGGCCTCAGCAACAACCAGCTCAGCAGACTCCGGATGCCGAACCGATCGAAAGGGTTGCATAATGGGAGCATAGTGATTCTTGAGGCGTGTTGCCCTCAGCCGACCTGGGACTAAAGTGAATGTAAGAATATTCAAAGTCGCCATTACCAATAGACGCCTGAAACTGAAAGGCAGCTACATGTACATGTATATGTACATGTATATGATTGTATAAGGCCATCATCGATCTGCAGCTCGACACGGACTCATGCACATGTGATGTGAGCATATGCTTCAAAGTACGTGTACATGTAGCCAGGCCACAGCTCATGTAAAAATGCAGTCGTTCCTATTCGAACGTAACTGTTCTGCCGCACTGCATAGCGGTGAGTAGCAATGTTAGTGTGTTCCTGTGGCTTGCGGGTACATGCGGCTCCCATCGGCGTAGACACTTGGCTAGCTAACACCTCGACTCGAGATCGCGCGGGTCTTCCTCTCCCCAACTTGTCACTATACACGGCTGTCTGACGGGCAAACAGGCACCATCTAGATTCAGATCCCTGATCTGCTCTCCAGCATGTCTCTTTGCCGTACTCTCTTCTATTTCGTCGTTAAACATACCGCCTTAGCCGACTGAGGAGCTAGGGGGTGGTGTGAGGTGCAGCAGGAGACGATGGGCATTGTCTTCAAGATGGCGGTGATGGAGCTAATGGTCGCTTCCCTGGTGTCACGACCAGCCGCGACGCAACGGCCGCGTAACAACAGCTGATTTCGATGTCACGCCGGTCGCCTGATGAGCCAGCAACTCTCCTTCTCTGAGCATGTCGTGGGGATCAGCTCACCTTCTCTGGGGACAGGAATCACGAACTAATGCGATGTCACCAGTGATCGAGTAGTACAATACCTGATCTCTAGATGTAACCGACGTTGCTTGTTTACCCATGCTTGATTTGCGCAGTACATTTCTTTTACAAGATAGCTACAAAGTATCATGGTGCAAACGCTGCCAAAAACACACACGGATACACATAGCGATGGCATCCAAAGCAGTGCAGCTCCGAAGGCGGGGCAAGAGCAGGACAGTCATGCATATGTCGGAGGCAGACTGCAGGCTAGCCTACTGTGGACTTTGTAAGGATACCGGTACATGCATTCATCCTACGCCTGACGTCACTGAGCTCAGAGAAGTCGGAATGGATGCACTGAAACCAGCATGAAAGTGTACATAATCCGAAACAGGCTAATGAGACCTAATAAGGTGTAAACAGCTACAGCTAGCTGTCTGGAGTAGAGGTTGAGTAGTCTAAGTACATGTATGGTAGGCTGAGTGGGCGGACATGTATACCCCCCCCCCCTCTCTCACTCTCTCTCTCTCTGCTTCTCTCCATCTATCTCTATCTTTCTCTCTCTCTGTCTATCTCTCTCTCTCTCCTTCTCTCTCTCTCTCTCTCTCTCTCTCGCTCTCTCTCTCTCTCTCTCTCTCTCTCGCTCTCTCTCTCTCTCTCTCTCTCTCTCTCTCTCTCTCTCTCTCTCTCTCTCTCTCTCTCTGTTGTTGTTGTTGTTGTTGTTTGAAATCTTTTATTCTCACGATGGCCTGTGGCCAATAAGAAGTTGTTGTTGTTGTTGTTGAAATCTTTATTCTCACGATAGCCAGTGGCCAATAAGAGATGAATAAGAGTGGCCAATGAGAGAGTTGTTGTTGTTGTTGTTGTTGTTGTTGTTGGTTGTTGTTGTTGTTGACTTTATTTAAGAGCAAATAATATTGGGCACGACTACTGCTCGTATCTGACTGACACAGGAGTGCGAAGACCGTCGTCGGATGGGGCTTTGCAAGCTCCTTGGGAACACTCGTGCTAGTCGTTGGATCGCTACCGGTTGTGAGTTCCTGCTTTGCATCTGCACCCTTCGCGTTCGTGTCCTTTCGCCATCATATCGACTATGACAGTGGCGTGTGGTCACAAGAAAGAGAGAGAGCGGCAACGACACGTAGCGGTGATAAGCGGATGCACGGCGGCCATAGCTCACCTCATGTGAGTCATGGGGAGGCCAAGGGGGGGGGGCTTATGCGGCGGTCGTAGCTCAGCTTATGGGCTTTAGCATGGTGGAGACACGGAAGAGCGGCGATTAGTGTAGCGAGCACATCTCCCGCTCCCGCTCTGCTTCCTGCTCGCTCCATGAGTCCATGTGCGCGAGTTGCTTGTGGTCAGGAAAACAGTTGATGCAATGATGGCAGCTGCGGGCGCTTGCATGCGATCATGATGTCTACAAAGCATTCATCACGCAAAGGTAGGAAGTCAGGAAAA